TTTTTTTTGCTGAGGAAGATTCTCCCTGAGCTAACATGCTAGCATCCATATCCATGCCAGTCTTCCTCTATTTTGTATGTAGGTCACTGCCACAGAATGGCCACCAACGAGTGTTGTAGGTCTGTGTCCAGGAACCGAACCTGGGCCACTGAAGTGGAGTACACTGAAATTAACAACTAGGCCACAGGGCTGGCCCCCATTTCTGCTTTTTAAGCTATCATTGAAGATGATTCTAACATAGGTGATTCTTGATATATACTTTGAGAAACACCTTTCTAGGAGACAGTGTGAAATGTTTGAAAAAGCAAGGCTTTGGAATCAGACTTAGGTTAGGGTCCTGGCTTTTACCACTTAGAGGTTGTATAGCTGTGAGCGAGTTGGTCATTTTAAGGTTGGTTTTCCCATCGGTGCTTGGGATATAATAAACACCTTCTGTCTTAGAATTATTACAAGGTATATATGAGAGATGCTGTATTAAATTCCTGGCATATAGTAGCTCAGTAAACGTGAGTTGTCTTTTTCACACTTAGAAACCCGGAACACAGCTGTAAACCTAAAAGCCAGTGAAAAAGTAGAAGGAAATAGCTGTCATTATCCTCATGCATTTTGTTTTGTACGAGATCAAAGCCAACTGCTTTTTACTTTGAACCTACTGAATTAGAATTGTGTGAAATTAAGTTACTGATTTAGTAGATTTCATTATCTAGTTTCTCCTGGCAGCCTTCAATTCTGTAGACATTAAATTTGAGCAGTGTGATATAGGCAAGGTTAAAGTATGAACTAGAAACTGAGGACATTTAATAGAAAGACAGACACTTCAAAAATCTTGAGCACATCAATGTGTTGTAAATGTAAAAACTAGTACTCAGATTAATACTACTAGATTGCCAAGAAAATGTTAAATTGTGTTAAAAGAATTGTTTGAGAAATCAGGGAAGTATATATTTCAGAAAGATTTCTGTTATGACAACTAACCTTTTAAAGAGTTTTGGCACTTAAAGGAATAAGCTTCTGCTATTTGGGAAGTTCACTTAAATAAAATATTTTATTAGTGGGGCCGGCCCTGTGGCCAAGTGGTTGGGTTCGAGCGCTCCGCTTCGGCGGCCCAAGGTTTCACCAGTTTGAATCCTGGGCGCGGACATGGCACGGCTCATTAAGCCATGCTGAGGTGGCATACCACATGCCAGAACTAGAGGGACCCACAACTAAAAACACACAACTATGTACTGGGGGGCTTTGGGGAGAAAAAGGAAAAATAAAAAAAATCTTAAAAAAAAATTTTATTAGTATTTTACAGTTCTGGGTAAATGAACTTAAATGACCTTATTTCCCAGTTGATTGGCATATTACTGTTTTTAACAATCTTTCTTGAGTCAGGAAGCATCCTTGAAACTATACCAGAAGGCACTGTGGAACTAACCTATATATAAATTATTATGGATTGCCATCTAATGCTAAGGTTTTTCTCTGTCTAGAAGGGATGCTAATGTGAAGGGAGGAGGGCAGAGTCTTATCATAGCCATGTCTGCCCGTTTCATATCTGGAACTTCCTATCCCACATTAGCTAATTGGAGATACAGTTATTTTATGGTTATGGATTTGCAAAAGCTGTTGAGGGAGAGTTAGAAATTTCCCTTTGTTCTCATCAACCTTCCTGGTGCCGTCCTCTATCCCCACCTGGATGTTTATACGATTATCCTCAAAAACTCAACAATCAGCTGAGAAGGTGTGGGTATTAGTTTATTTTTATTATTTTTACTTGGTTAAACAATAGCACCTTTTGTTCTGTAGATTTAGGTCTTTCTTGGGCAGAATGAAGTTTTCTTTTGTTATATCTTTGATTATTGGCACTATTTTGTTACTCTTCTTCCAGAACACTCGTTTTTTCTTATGTTGTATTTTTGTCTGTCTTCCAGATCTATCATATTCCCTTTTGTCCTTCTTCCCCCTTATTCTTTTTTTCTACCTAATTAGGGAGTTTTTAAAGGCATATCTGATCTGTTTTTCAAGAGTGTTCAAAATTTTCAACTTTTTAACACTTTAATACATCTTTTCTTACTACTACATTTTCCATTTCCTTATTGTTCAACTATTTTCCCCTTATTTTACCAGCTTGATTCCAATTTCTACCTGTCTCAGCCATTTCTCTATTTATTTTATATTGCATTGTCTCATCTTTTATTTCTTTCAGAATTGTTTATTTTTTTACTTTATAAAAGATGCAAAGCAAGTGTCTAGAGTTTATTTCTGTTTCTCATAGTTTGCTCTTGCTTTCTACATCTTGAGTGCTATGTTATGTTTTCATATTACATAATATTTTTATGGCACCTGTGTTCATTTGGTTTGTTTGCTTTTCCTCTCTCACTTATCCTTGGATGAGGATATAGTTTTTATCCTTGTCTCTATAATCTGGGATGCTTACCTCTAGATTGGATTAGTGGCTTCTCTCTGCTTCATCTGACTAGAGGGTGCTTGCATCATCCTCTTCGATTTGAACAGAAGATCTGATACAGACCCCATAGCATTTTTCTGGGGGTTTTGCCTAAAATGGATCTGCTAGTCTAAGGAGGGGTCATCTAATTTGGCTTCCTGGTCCTCTCATTCCTAGTTAATTTAGCACAAGAAGGTATCCTGCTCCGGGCAGCTCTTCCAAACTCAGTCTTTGTAGTGCTAATTTTACATCCCCAGATGTAAACTCCTACTCGTTATGCATTTCCATCCCACTCATGTTATAGCGCCAAGAATTTTAGACCCAGATTGGTGGTAGAGAGCATGGGCTTCAGATCAGATGGACCAAGCGAGTGGAGCGATTGAGCCCTTGTGTAGCAAGGGAGTGACTTTCCTCCATCAGGTCCTTGAAAATCCTCTTTTTTCTGGGGAGTTTAAAGAAATCTCTCAAAATTGTCCTATATGGCTTTTAATATTTTGCCTCTGACTACTTCCATTTTTTGCAGTGAAAATTAAATCCTTTTGCAATCTAGTGGATCATTGATTAATATTCCTGGAACACGTAAACTTGTATTGTGTGTGTGTGTATTTCAGTGGGAAGACGGGAAAGGTCTAGGAAGGTGTTACGAGCTTTGCCTGTATTGCTCCCTTGCTTGTTTTAAGTGCTTAGTATAAGAAGAACCAACTGTGCTTAGCCATTTATTATTTTAATGCTTTTGTCTCAATATTATTTTTCTAGTTAGGTATTTTGCAAAATATGTCCTGGGAGTACCAGTTCCATAAAGTCTTCTGGTAATAAAGGGTTCCATGGACAAATAATTTAGGGAAATGCTGCTTATTAAATCTTTCTCATAGAAATTCAATCAATATGTAAATATATTAAGGGTCTCAAGAAGGCCTGGACTAACAAAACCTGTTTAACTTTAATTCAGCATTTCCCAAACTTATTTGATCCTAGAAACCTATTAATGTCCCATAAAACACACTTTGGGAAATACTGCCCTAATTTTTATAGTTTTTCTGAACCTCTTAGGGTTTGTTGTAAGCTTTTTTCCACAAAGCAAACTTTAGATTTTTGGATTTGAAACTTTTTTCAATCATCCAAAGATGTAAATTAGGACTAAATATGATTAGAATGTCCAGATTTAATTCAGGAATTTCTCACTCAGATTTCTTTCTCATTTGATGTTTTGAACAAGATATGATCTCATTGACCTTTTAAAAATATTTGTTACTTAAAACATTAAATTCGTATATTTAGGAAAAGGAGATAAATATTTTATTGGTGCACTGAGCTGAGCGAGCTCTTTACCCGACGATATTGGAGGCATTTCTGTGTTTTCCCTGAGCTCAGTAAAAGAGACAGTTGTCCTTACTCATGACTTTAATATTGTGTGTTAATCTAGGAAGTAAAGCCATAGCTGTGCAGCTTTTCTATCAAAATAGTATAACTTGGTGGAGTAGGAAGGCTGACTAATTTCATTTTCAGTTTCAGAGTGTTAAATTCTTTTTTGTATTCCTACTTTATTTGTCTTTGAAATAATATCTGACTAAAGCTCAAGTCGTCTTTTCTTTTGACTCTTCATCATAGGAGATTCAAATAGGCTTTACTAGTCTAACTGTTCACTGACTGTTGGAGAAACCTACTTTGTTTTGGTAACTAATGCTTCTGTACTTGCTTTACCATTCCTTTCCAGCCAAATACTTTTTCCCCACCTAAGTCCTTTTATAATTAATAGTTTCGTTTTGTTTTGCTTTGCTTTTTAAATATAGAGTTCAATTCATACCAATTTAGGAGTTTTTTTTTTTTAAAACAACAGTTGTGTTGTAGAGGCTTTTTTGGGGATGGGGCGTGAGAGGGTGGTGATGAGGGGAGATAGTGGTAAATAAAGCCCAGCAAGTTTTCAGCTGGACAGGTTTCTCCACTGGCTTCCTAAATCCGAAAGAGCCACAGATTTGTAGTAGGTTTGTCTAGCAAGTCCAAGTTCCAGTTCTTGGAGTTTCCCTACATGAAAGTGTTATATTTCCATACTTCCTTCTGAATAAAACCACTATTTGCAGATCTCTTCTTCTGGTTCCGTAAGATATCCTTTTTAAACCCAACCAGCCCAAATACTTCTATAATTTTAGAATTAAAAGTGATATCTAGGGGCCAGCCCCATGGCAGAGTACTTAAGGTCACGCTCTCTGCTTTGGCCGCCCACAGATGCGCCAGTCCAGATCCTGGGCGTAGACATGGCACTACTCATCAGGCCATGCTGAGGTGGCGTCTCACATAGCACAACCAGAAGGACCTACAACTAGAATATACAACTAGGTACTGAGGGGCTTTGGGGAGAAGAAGAAGAAGAAAAAAAAGGAAAAAGACACAGGATTGGCAACAGTTGTTAGCTCAGGTGCCAATCTTTAAAAAAAAAGAAGTGATATGTAGAAACATTATTTGAACATAATGACCAAAAATACTCTAAGAAAATAGAAATATAAGGTAATCGACTCAGTATTTATATTCACTATAGTAAATGAAATTCTAACTTTCATTTTATCTTCAACAGACAAACAACAGAAAGGTGAATTTGCAATAGATGGCTACAATGTCAGAATGAATAACACTCTTAGGAAGGATGGAAAGAAAGACTGCTGTTTTGAAATCTCTGCTCCTGATAAACGTGTCTATCAGGTTGGAATTTTTATGTTGCTTTGAATTAGGTTGATAAAATGTTCTGATTTCATTTATAAAGACATTAACATTTTGTTAAAACGACTCTTACTGACGTGTTAATAATACAAAATACCAGTTTTTGTACATTGAACATTCACATGAGAGGAAATACATTTAAAAAAAATTTCAGATTAGTTCAATTGATATCTTCTTGAAAGAGAACAAGTGAATATGTAACTTATCAATTACTTCACATGTTGCATTTTATGTCTGTTTTAATAGAACTGTATGATTTCTTAAAAGAATTGCATAGCAGAAAGAGTAAGTTATCAAAAGAAAAATATCAGAGTATTAATGCATATCGTATTGCTTAGGGTTGTGGGAGAAAATGAAGGTAAAGACACGGATCAGCTCTGCAATTCAAGAGCTATCAGCTAGCATCAATATGGAATGTATGTTTAATAAGTTTTAAATATCTGAGATTGCAGTTGAAAGCCAGTTAATTAAGTTGTCAGGTAGTGTGTTGGAATCTGACAAGAACATTTTTAAGAAAACTGTGCCCAGCAGTCTAAAGAAATTCATGGGTGTCTTCTAATTGTCAAGGGCAAATTTTGTTCGTCAGTTCTGTCTTTGACATTGATGAAGAGAAGCAGCTTTTTTTCTTGCACAGCTGCCAGCTGCTGATCAGAGTTCCAAATCCATCATCCTCTGCTTCAATTACGTAAATTTGTCAAAATTAACTGTACATTATAAGAAGCATCCTTGCAAGAAAAGTAGTGTTGGACATGAAAAGAATTACTAATGGTCTTAAAGAAATGATAAGAATGCAACATACCTTTCTACTGCAGTGATTTTTCTTATTATTGTTTGTTTTTTATTAGTTCACAGCAGCTTCTCCCAAAGATGCTGAAGAATGGGTTCAGCAGCTGAAATTTGTTTTACAAGGTAAGAGCAATCGATTGAACAGGTTATTGCAGTCTTTAAATACTGGACAACTGAATGATTTGGATTTTCATATAAAAAATCTTATTGACTTCTGTGAGAATGACCAAGGGAACATGACTGGTGTTAATACAGACCATTCACTTCAGATTTATAAAAGTATCTTTTCTGTAAGTACCAATTGGGAACTTTTAAATTCATGTATTTATGCAACAATCAATTAAAAATATTTTAAGTTAAGGATATAGCATATAACAATATTGTGACTTTGTAGGGCTGCATTAATTGAGGAAACGGTTTTGAAAATCTCCTTTGCATTCCTTAAAAATTTACTTCATGAAACATATGTTGTAGATATGGGATCTGATAATATTCCTGAGGATGATGAAGAAAGAGGAGAATTATATGATGATGTTGATCATCCTCTCCCAATCAGCAGTTCACCAGGAAGCAGTCAACCAATTGATGATGAAATTTATGAAGAGCTTCCAGGTATTTATTATCTGGTGATTCATTTAAGGATTTTAGAGCTTTTTAAAAAATGTCATATATCATCAAGTTGACAACTTGAGTAGAAAATGGTGAGATCTTAAAAACAAGGACAAAGAAAATCTTCAAAACTCTATTTTACGAAAAGGGTTCTGCTTGAGGCATTTTAAGTGAGTGGATGTACGCTTATGAAAAGTGAATGGAATGTTAAAATGAAGCAGATACAGTCCTAATCTCATGGGACTTTTGGCTCATTAACATTGTTTATGCTACATAATTTTTTAATTAAAAAATTGACTTGCCTTACAGTTTTTTCCACCAACTCACACATCATTTTTTGTTTATACATCTTGGAACTTCCATTAACCAGAAGTTCTGTGCACACCCCATATGTCAACAGCTTCTGCCTCATAGATTCCTCCTTGCTGGAGTGTATTGCGTTGTCTTAAAGGAATATTGTTGAACTAGAAGCAAAGGCCTTTTGAGGCTTGAGGTTTTCTTGATAGTTTATCATCGGGATGAATAAGTTATCTTATTCTACATTTTCAGTCATGGTTTAGTGTTTATATGCCTTAGTATCTGTTATGAATCATAAAATTAATTGTCTGTTAGCTATTTGACTTGTAGTTTTGAGAGTCAATCTAAAACAGAAAGATAGGCATCTGGAACTTGGGATATTTAGAATATGAAAACATTCAGGGAATTTTTGCATTACTAATACTCTAGGTTGAAATAAGCTTTTTTCTGGCTATTAAAAAAATCAGTAGAGAAGAAAAAGGGATTATAAGCAATATAAGTGAGATTTAACATCTCATGTAGACAGGCTATTTTTCTGTGAATAGAACAATTTAACGACATAGTATAAACCTTTAAAATTCATTTCAGAATTACTTAAAGTGTTGCAAATTAATGTACAGATGTCATTTTCAGTGAAGTCAGAGGAACATAATAGCTAGCATGGACTTTAGAGTTAAAAAGTTTAAATTCTGGCTGTACCGTTTACTAGCTCAACGACCTTAAAAGTCAATTTCTTCATCTATAAAATGGGGATAATCATTGGGGAGGGTAAATGAGGTAATATATCTAAAGCTCTTAGCACAGGGCTTGAATCATAGCAAGCCCACAACAAATTGTCACATCATCATTATTGTATCTGGTAAATTCTTGCAAGTGCTCATATGAAGGTATAATAATGGTTCTCTGACCAAGTAAGAATTAAGGTTTGTAATGGTATTATAAATTCAAGATATTACAAAAACTGTTCAAAATATGCATCTACATATTGTCCTTTCTTACTCTAGAAGAAGCTGATTAGTATAAAAGCATAATTTTGTGGGAAATAGTAACCTATATATTTCTATTATTTTAGTGAAACATAGTTCGTAACTCCCTCCTTTCTGATTTATCCTAAGAAAATGGCATCTGCCATAGCATCAGTTATTCTCAAGCAGGAAGACTATTCTCTGGCTGCTTATTTTTAGTCATACCATATCATTAATAACAATGATTTTAATCTTTAAAATGTTCAAGAGAGCTTATACAGATGTAAAATGGAAGAGTGTAGTACCTTTAAACACAATATTACTATCATATACATTTTATTCTTTTAAAATCCTGCAATGAATGGGTTACATTACAATTGTTGAATTGACTGTCAATTAAGTTCTGTGTTTCTTCAACTTGATCATCCTCTCCCTGCCCCCAAATAGAGAAATGGTCAGGAATAGGATCAAGTATTCACAATCATTTTCATAATAAGGGTCCAAGGAAGATCTCCTGTAAGTAGCTTGAAATCTTAAAAGCATGAAACGTCTTTTACTTTCCCTTGCTACAGATGTTCTTCTTAATCCCTTTTTTTGGCCTGGGGCCACATAATTGTTGGAAATAACTGGTTGCTCTTTAAGTAGTCTTACTTCTTGCTGTGGTCCTGGAAGAAATCTTAGCTGCCCTGGGATTGCTTGCCCCAGCCTGGGATCCCAGTTGCTGTACAGAGTGATTGAGCTTGGTCGAGCCTGCAGCTGTGCCCCTGGGGAGGAGGCTGGCGGAGGCAGCTGCGGAATGTCTAGCTCGTCTTTCTTCCTCGGTGTAACCGAGAGCCACTTCAACATCTGCACAGTTCAAGTTGGCCGAGTTGGAGCCAGCCACTACAGAGGGGATTTTTCTTAGTGAAAGCCCTAAAGTTGTCTCTTAGAGGTTTTGTTTGATTAAATATCTAAAACTAGAAAGGTAACTTTTTTCCTTTAAAAAATGATCTCTCTTTCATAATAAGAATTGAACTAATTGCTTTCACTTCTGTGAAATATGAGTATAATTTTGAAAGAGGTGAAAACAGTGGAAAAGTAGTGAACACGTTTACAAACTGTTGGTATTTTTCCAGTTCTGTACAAAGAACTGCATATCTCTGAAATCTGACTGGTTAAATTCCCGGAATTAATTAATACTACCATTTCAACACAATTTTCTGTCAATTATATATAGTTGAAAACTAATCCTCTTAGTTGAAAGATGAAGCATACAAATGTGTTTGAAGAAAAATCTAAGCATTCAACATGCTACTTTAAATCACAAAGTTCTTTTTTTGAGAAAGTAAAACTCTTACTCTAATAAATGCATTTTTAATGTAAAATAAACCTGCAGTGTTTAAGTCTCAAGAATAAGAAGAAAACATTGTTTAAAAAACTGTATTGCAAAATATCCCTTAAAAATGTCCATAATTCTAAATGTTCATAAATTTCATAATTTACACTATTGTATAAATAGTCTCGTAATTGTTTTTCAGTTAGAATATTCTAACTTTATTACAATAGTTTCTCTTTCATTTCTTGTTCATTAATTTTTAACTAACTTCACAAATGAATAAGAATAAATTTGTAAAATTTCTTTGCATTTAGAGGATTAATACATATGTACAGAAGAGTTGAGAGAGTGCCATTTCTGGGGAGTATTAAAGGCATCTGGCTTTTCTTCAAAATACCTTAATGCTTTGACTTCTTTTATGTCTTAGTACCTGTTAGCATAGGCCAGGCAAAGTGGCTTACATTGTGATGTTCCTATAGTCTATACTATGTTACAATAGTGTATTTGTTTGCACAGCTAATATATTGATCAAAGTGTGTTAATCCGTTTTTTAATGCAGTAATGAGTTCATTTGGTTTAGCACAAATTTCGGAAGTTATTGCTCATTTTTTCACTAGAAATACAGAAGAACATTTTTGTTTGATTTTGAATCTTGAAAGGGGAAGACAATACTTGGGACATTGTTGCAAAAATCAATCCAGCTTGCTCTTCTCTTCTAGTTACCTTGTCACTTGATTTTTTTTTTAATGTCAGGAAATTGTGCAGAAAAAACAACAAAAAGATTTTTAATAGAATCAGTCCAGTAACAAGATGGTAACCTCCTGTTAGCCTGTTAAATCTGTCGCTTTCAAGGGAATTGCATTTGAAATTCTTCTGGCAAGGGGACTGGAGGAGAGAGGGCAACATAAAAGAGGAAGATGAATTTCTAATTCCATTAACCTATTTTTTTAAGTGTTAATTCATTCATTTTTTTTTATCGTAATGACAGATTAAACTATTACAAGCCAGGAAAGGATGTTTTTATCCTTTGGTCATTCAATTACATTTTAAATTTATTCAGTCTCACTATCTGCATCTAAAATGGAACATAAAGTAAAATGCAACTATAAATTTTTTTCAATGAAACTATGATGTATACATAAAAAAGAAGTGTTTGGGTCCTTAAATTTGAAGCAGTCTCCGGCAAGTGGACATGAATGCTAACTTAATCCAAAGTGGTAACAACCCCCCAAAATACATTTTAGCTTTATTTTCTTGCTGAATAATTATCACTCATATTACCAAGTTAATATCAAGATTTTAGGGGACCCTGGAGTCTCGGGTGTTAACATCATTGTAAGTGATGGTAGGTCCTGGTTTCACCAAAGAATTTTTCTCATTCCTTCTTTGGAATGCGGAGGAAAGATGCCAGCTGACTTTCACAGAACCACATATATTCAGCATTTTAATATTGTTAGTCCAGGCAGCCTGCTGGCATTCTTTTTTCTTGAACTATGGTACTGAATTATAAAGTTGTTAAGTGTGGAGGTATGGTGTCTAATATACGGTATGATAAACATTTTTTCGCAAGTGGATAACTAGATTAGAGTCAATTTTTTGGATGGTTTCAGCTCTGAACTCTGCTGAGAGGGTTATCTGAAGTTATAGAATATAAGGAAAACATCCATAAATTAGGGTCACTGCACATGTCTAATTGTTTATATTTTTGTCTTTGTTGAATATAAATATGACTTTAGTGTTCTTTATGTTACCTATTTCATAATATGGCATGAAGCTTTGGAATATAATTGTGCCTGTCATGTAGTTTTTCTCTGCTTTGCAGTTGGCATTGCAAACAAATTCTTTTCATTGCAAGAGATGGTTTAACATATATTAAAACCCAAAATACCTGTGTGTAGGCAAAACTTACATTTTTACTGGCAGAGAGATAAGCTAATCTGTTTTTTGCAACTTGGAGCTATATCAGTGGTTTTCAATGAGAGCAGATTTTGATCCCCAGGGTACATTTAATGATTTAATGCCTGGAGGCATTTGTGGTTGCCAGAACTGGTGCATGTGCGTGCATACATGTGTGTGCATGTATGTGTGTCACAGGCATCTAGTGTGTAGAGGCCAGGGATGCTGCTAAACATCCTACAATGCAGAAGGCAGCCCCTACAACAAAGAATTATCTGGCCCCAAATGCCGATAGTGGTAAGGTTGAGAAAGATTGGTGCAGGACTGTAATGGATAGCTTTTGCTTTATCACCTTTTTATCTGTATCTCTTGAGTTATAAAAACCCATAAACCATGCTCCGTGGAAGAGTTTATTTTTATGGACACAACATAGGTTTTCTTACGTACATAAAACTAGGATTTCATAGAATGGTTCTAGGTCATAAGGGACCAGCTGGACGAGTCTGTCACTGTTTCCTTCAAGGGACTGA